CCACAAGTGGAGAAGAAGGACAGGAGGAGACTTCACATGCCACGCCCTGAGTGGCCTGGAGGTGGGGAGGAGTGCGCAGAGTCTCCTCCCACCCTCCCCCGCACTGCCTGGAGCATGTGGCACTTCTAAGCACCGCGCACTCCTTGCAGGGCAGGCACAGGGTGGAGGAAACGTCGCGTGCTTCCCCCCCGCCTCCAAGCCCTGATTGGCAGGGGCCTTTGGGGCCTGGTAGGTAAGTTGCAGCAGCATCACTTGGAAGCGGTTCTTCAAAGTGTTCACGGCTTTCGAAATGTCTCCCATTGTGTGGTGCTGTAAGGCAGGGACTCAGCTTTTCCGATCTGTCCCCCTTTTGGGAGTCTGACGTGTCTCGGGTACCCCAAGTCCCACCTCATTTAAAACCGACTTGCTTACGAAAGATGCTCCCCCAGATTCCGGCAGTTCCACCTCATGTTGACGGACTCGCGGTCGCACTCGTAGGTGGCCAGAGACTGCCCCGCCGCGGTGGAGTTGCTGCCCTGCCAGGAGACCCCGAGGCACTGCATGGTCCCAAGGTTGAAGAGTCGGTTCCGGGAGACCCATTTCCACTTCTGGGCTGGGGCGCTGGCGTTGCAGGCTTTGGAGATCCTCACCAGGGCGTCCTTGGTCTCCAAGCAGCCCTGCAGCCTGCTATTGTAGATCAGAAACACCTTGGAATCTGGAAAGCAAAGAGAGCAGAGGCAGGGACACAGGATTAGGGCCTCTTGTGAAACTGAGCAGCTGCTGCAGCGGCATCTGCATGGAGAACAATCACCAGGGTCGATCAATTTCCCTGGTGCAGGGCATGACCTGACCACTAGAGAAACACGAGATCTAACTAGATCAGACCAGTGGCCCCTCAAAATCCAGACTCCTGCCCCATGCACCATCTGGCCACAGGAGCGGAGGGGGTTGGAGGACATTGCTTCCTGACCCAAGTGCTCAGCTTACACCCAGAAACATGCGATTGAATCCCCTTCGTCCCAGCCTGCCCAGCTTATAAATGTGGACGTGGCTCATGACATCGCTCGCTCCGTGATGTAACTGTCGCTTAATCGGGTGGGGTACAGCTGGGTTCATGCCTCCCTTTGAAGCATCCTGCTTGGGACTCCAGGCGAGCTGTGAAGTTTTGATCAGAGCAACCCTGGACATTTTGTTGCCGCAGGTGCAAAATCTGTTTGCCCCTCCCTGCCCCCAAGTGGCCAACAGCACAGCAGTCTACTACCCGGCTCACTTGCCCCTAGTCCTGGACCAACCTAGAGGGTGGGACACTAGGGTGGGAGTCAGGGCACCAAGAGTCTACTCACAGCCCTGCTGCATGACCTCTTTGGCTTGCCTATCCTTGGAGACTGGGACTATTGCTTTTTTTGTGGGCTGGTACAGCACCTAGCATAGCAGGGCCCTGCGCTCGGCAGCTCTTTATTCCTTAGCGTCTGCCTCTAAACAGCATCATAAGGAGGTGCAGTTTTCCATCGATGCGCTGGAAAAGATCTCCAAGTGCTTGGAAACAGTACTTAAGCTTCCCAGCATGCCATCCGGGGCATTTGGGGTATTGGCAAAGGCATGAAGGCATTTCTTTGCTAGAGAAATTAAAGTGCCATCAAAGCCTGAGCTTCCACGGATTGCTCTGAGCTCACTGACCGGCCCCAGCAATTCAGCTGGCCTGTTAAAAGGATGCTGGGCAGCCTTGCAACAGCAGTTTTTAAAGTAACCCTCCACACTGCAAGCGGAGCCCACGCTTACGGCTCAGCTGGAGGCTGTCTTCTTTAGCCAGTGCATTCAAGTCTGTAAAAACACAGCTATGCGGGGGAATAAAATGGTGTTCATCACATTTATGCACATCTGGGGCCCTGTTAAAAAAAATGTTGGAACACACACGGTACAGAGAAGGTCTCACCCCACATGACTCATGAGTTCGGCTCGGCTGATGGAAAACACTCTCCGAAGGCAAAGCCAACGGCTCAGGACACGTGGGGTTGGCTTTTCTTCCCTTCTCCTTCTTGTGCTTTGGTCTTTTTATGCCTCACTTGTGGGTCTACGGGGTACATTTTTCACCCCCATTCAGTGATTTTCAATGGTTGTAGGGACTCAATTGAATGGGAGACGAGCACCTAACTCGCTAAATGGCTTTGATCATTTTTCCATTGGGAGAATACTGGAAGTTCCGAGTAAAGTGAGTTGCTCGAGACCACACAAACAACAGCGACCGGGTGTGATTGCATCTTACACAGCTGTACACCGGAGCGCGCCTTCATCTGGCTAGTCCAGATATCAGAGCAGTGAAACCGTGGCAGGATGAGTGTGAGCGCAGATTAGCGCTCCGAGTAATTACCCAGAGCTCCCGGTAGGTATGTCCAGCCTAACAGCCTGTGCCTAAGCTTCAGGTACGGCTGCGAAAGTTGCAAGCAGGCCCTGTAACAGATGGACTTCAAGTCAGCGGCTGCTCCAGGAAGAGAACCCAGGAATACTGACCCTGCAAACGCTTACTTGACGTGACACTTTTAGATCGCTGCACCTTGAAACATGACCAGCCTTAGAACTCTCACCTCTAACAGGAACCAAAACTAACTTTAGTCAGCGCTCAAGTTGCATCAAAGTAAATCTTACCCATCCCCGACCCTGAAAGCATGGAAATTAACTTGGGGAGAAGCCTTCCGCACCCCCTGCCTCTTCCCCATTGGCTACAATGCCACTACAACCCTCCGCAAGGCCCTCACTTCCACCCCAACAGACACTCAGAAGCACGATTTACCACGCCTTCACTGAACTGTCACTCGACCGGCAACTTCATACCACGGCGCATCCACAGGCCAGCATGCCCTGCTGTCACTGGACCATTCACATGGGACATTAATCTGCCGAAAAGAATCTGCTGAGGTCACCATTACGGTTTGCGTTAGACTGTGGCTTTCCAGAACTGTGTGAGAATCAGTGAAAACATATGTGTCTCTCCAGCTGATGTGTTAGGGAATCTCTGTCAAA